ATGAAAAAATAATAGTAATTTATAAATGATCAACAGTTCGTGAGGGAAGGGGGGCGGGGAGAGAGGGGGAAAATGAGGAGCTGGTACCAAGGGCTCAAGTAGAAAGTAAATGCTTTGAGAATGATGGTGGCCACAAATGTACAAGTGCGCTTGACACGGTGGACGGATGTGTGGATCGTGATAAGAGTTGTACGAGCCCCCAATAAAATGATTTTTAAAAGAAAAAAATGTGCTGAAAAACCCGGCTTATATGTGAGCATAGACAGTACAATGTGTGGTCTTGTGTGTCTGGCTTTCTTCACTTGTTCGGTGCCAGTGATGTGGTTCCGACTCAGAGCGGCTCTATGGGCTACAGAGGAAAGCACCGTCCAGTCCTGTGCCACCCTCACCACTGCCGCTGTTTGCGCCCATTGCTGTTGCCACTGGGTCAATCCAGCTCCTGGAGGCTCTCCTTATTTGCCATTACCCGTCTACTTATTTCTTTGTGAGGTGCCATCCATCTGTCCCGACCCCGAGTGACCTGTGCACGAAAGAATGAAACACTGCCCAGTCCTGCGCCAGCCTCCCCATCGTCCCTGTGCTGAGCCCATTGTTGCAGCCACGTGTCCATCCATGTGGCGGGCCTTCCTCCTTTTCATGTCCCTCTGCTTCATCAAACACGATAGTTCCTTAAAGACCATAAAGCTCAGGGCACATGTCTTTTATGATAGTTATGCTGAACTACCATTTGATTTTAAGAAAACATCAACGGATATTTTTGGTTTGAGTTTTAAAAGATTATATCAGGGCAATAGTTTAAAAAAATCATCCAAGCTCCTTAGCTGCAGAAAGCTTAGAGTCTATGAGCATTTGAAAGTTCTTTCTGCATTTCCCCTCCTTTGATCCTGATTCTACTATAGAATCTTTGATCAAAATATTTAGTAATGGGAGCCAGGCATCATCCAGCTCTTCTGGAATCATGACAAAGGAGACCGTTGTTCAGGAAGGCAATTAGCCCCAAATTCCATATCCTCTGCCCAATCCTGACTTTCCTTCTTTCTCTGTTGCTCCAGGCAAAGACAGACCAATCTTTGTGTGAACTTGATGGCTGATCGAAAGCCCTCGAGACCCCAAGGGCTACATAATATATATTTTCCCTTTCTTGGTAGTGTTCTTTGAAGAGCAAAAATAAATACATAATATTCTATTGATTTCTTTTGTTGTTCTTGTGCCTTTGGTGCTTTACCCAAGAAACCAAGGTCCAATGATCTTTTAAAAAAACTTACAGCGTCTTCTTTCTTCAAACATCTTCAACTGAGACCTACAATATTTAGAATCCATTTCTAGGTGCTCCCTGTGGGCCATTGAGTTGATGCTGACTCATAGCAACCACATAGGACAGGGTAGAACTGCCTCCTGCGTTTCTGAGACTTTAACTCTGGATGAGAGTCGAGAGTCGTCTTTCCCCCCAGGAGTGGCTGGTGGTTTCCAGCGGCTGGCCTTGTGTATCACAGTCAAATGCATAACCACCACACCACCTGGTCTCCTTACCACGGCGGCCTACATGACTGTAATATCTGAGCCCTGGCCACCTCTGACCTCCTCTGTCTTTGACATCTCTGCTTCTCATTTTCCCCTACAATGGCCTCCTTGCCTCCTCCTGGCTGCTCCAATCTCCTCTACTGTGCCACATGCCTAGAAGCTGTTTCTTCAGACATCTGCAGGGCTTGCCCCTCTTTCATTCACATATCTATTCAAATCCCACCTTGTCAGTGCACCTGTCAATCTGCGGGCACCTGCCTTAGCCTCAACTAATTGTGATTTCCTTATTCAGCCTTATTTTACCTTCATAGCACAAGGGAGGGGCCTTCAAAAGGCTCATGGGAAAATGGAATGGAAAGATACTGAAATCCACCAACTTCTTGAAGCCCCCTGGGATTCCCACCTAACCTTACACCGTTCACGACGTTATCTCTTGGGCTTGGCATGGGGTAGGTGATCAAATAGGTGGCATGTGGATTGTCATCTTTGAAATCTTTATGAATTTTTTTTCTTTTTGTGGGAGATCCCCACCTCTCACCCCCGCCACCCCATGAGTGAAGTGAATTTAGAACAGAAACATTTAGAGGCAGCCCCTGTCTGAGGGGATGGTGAAGGGCAATATGCTTTCCAATCAGGACAGAGGATACAGGCCACAGCTAACAGCTTAGAGGCTGAGGGTGGGTGGAGTTGCAGGGTAGGAAGGATGGGATGTTAGGATGTGGGTCCCCCCTTCCTTCAACTTGCTGACTCATTCTATATAACTGTCCAGCAGAACCTACCACAGTTCAGATAATCCCAAATTCAGTTGGCCAACGTCCACTTCCATTGCCAGGGGTTGAATCTGGGAGGACTGCACAGTGAGGAACACTGAGCGATTTGAACAGGCTAAGTCTATGTCACATACGGTTGTAGCCACAAGCTGCATGTGGCTAGTCAGCGCTTGGAATGCTGCTAGTCTGAACCTCAACATGCTGTAAGCATGAAATGCAAACTGGATTATGTAGGAGGCTTAGTGTACATAAAATATCCAAATGTACAAATCAATTCTCTGTTGGAATGATCATTTTTTCAATAGCTTGATTTATGAAACGTAATCAAATGAATGTCCCCCTTTTAAAAATGATTCGTTCTTTACTGTGACGACTGGAAACTTTTGAAGTACGCACGTGGCTCGCAATTTGTGCCTTCGCTGTTTCTTTCTTTTTGAGAAGTTTTATTGATGTATAACTTATGTACCCTCCAACTCGATGATCTGTGCAATCATCACCACCATCAATTCCAGAACGTTTTCTTCCATGACGTTTCTATTGTCTCACCGAGGTTCTCCCTAAAGCCTGCAGGGGTGGTATCAGGTACCCCCAATCAGTTCAGTAAATACTGGCCGGATGCCCTACGTCAGGCTGCTTGAGAAGGTCCTTAGGCTAGAATTGGTGGATATTTTGTACACGGAGGCAAGAACCCGAGTATCTGGACAGACATTGCCCACCCACTGCCATGCAGCTGGATTCTGACTCCTAGTGATCCTGGTACAGGGTTTCCAAGGCTGTAGGTCTTTAAGGGAGCAGATCGCCTCCTCCTTTTCCCTTGTTGGTGCTCCTGGTGGGTCTGAACTGCTGGCCTTGCAGTTAGTAGCCTGCTGCACTACCAAGGCTCCTTAAGGAAAGGCATAAGCAGGTGGGGAAAGGATGGCCATGTTGAGGCTGTTGATTGGCTGGTGGTGACGGTTGGGTCCCCAGCTGTATTTACATTCTGCTTCAAGGAATAAAAAAACACCACTTGAATTGGGCCAGCCCAACTGTTTATTTCTTTGAAAACACCAGCTTTTAAAGTACCAGCACTTTGCTTCCACAGTTTATTTTAGGTAGACAGATTCTCCAGGATTTTAAAATATCTCCTGTGCTCACACGACTTGGAACTTTGGAACTGGATCAGCGCCTTGGCCTTGAAATCCTTCCCTCCTGTTTACAAGTTGCTTCTCAGCTTTTTATTTTCTCCCTCCCCCACCATTGACATGAGGACAGCAAAGGGATTAAGGGTTGAATAAACACTTTGTTGAACAAGCCTGCAGACTTGGAAATGAGGCTTTAAAAGAGAACCTCTTTGATTTTCTGCAATGAGCATGCTATTCCTCTGCCTCACACACGAAGAGGCCTTGGCAGCGAGTCCTCAGCAGTTTTGACATGCCTGGCCACTGAAGTGGTTTGCAGCCACTGGTAAGCACATCTAGTCCTCCATTTCTGGGGAAGTGGCAAATAATTTAAACTCAAGGAAAGTCCCTTGAAAAATAAATACCAGTAAATAAATAAAAAGAATAAGGTGACAACTTGCACTGGAGTATGTTATGGGTTTTTGAGCCCCAAATATATACAATGATCTTTCAGAGAAAACACGGAATGGTTTCACAAGGAGTGCCCATCAAACTATGCACCATGAAGTGCTGTCCTTCCTCTGGCCCCCAGATATACTTGGTCCGCCTTGCATTTCTTCTAAGAGCTTTTGGGGAAGCTCAGCTGGTGGTCCTGAGTTCTACTGTTGTGGTTTCTGGGTTCCTCAGTGTGGAGCAGTAGAAAGTAAGGCTTTGTCCAGAGAGTGGTCAATGATCCTTCCTAGTCCTAAGATTGAATTTCTCGCTGTTGTAAAATATTTTCTGTGTGTGTGTGTGTGTGTGTGTGTGTGTGTGTGACATTTCGGTGGTCTAGAAGCAAAGGCACTTACAGTTTTTACTCACAGTGAGAAACCCAGGTGCTTCTTGGGTAACAGAGAAGATCCTGTGTGAATTTTGTGAGAAGCGATATTTTTTCCTTTTGAGAAGCAATAGTCTTGAAGCTCCTATCTTACATCTTAGACACGGTGTATAATTTCTACAGCTTTCTCCTTTCAAAATTCAACCACGAAAATAGGCAGAAGCTTAAAGTAGGGCTCCCAAGGGCCAACAGCACCCTCTGAGACCGTGAAGGGCAAGCCCCATCCAGATCTGGGTGGCTGCTGGGATAGATAAGTCAGAGTGGGGATGTTGTCCTTTATTAAGAACATATTACTTATCACTTTAACTCATGTCTCACACTTTCCCGCTAAGAAGATCAGCTCAGCAACTGATAAGTCAGCTAAGACAATACTTGGCAATGTCAGGCTGGCTACAGGGCCCCAGGAAGACAAGGGCATCTTACCTGTAATAACGGCATCAGCTGCAAACCTAGTGCTTGCTCATACAGCAAGTTCAGCTCTGCGCAACTGGAAAAGGAGAGTTTGGAGGTGTAGAGGTAGTAGTGCACGTGTCTAAATGTGGAGCCATCCCTGTCGATGAAGAGCCGCTGTCTGTCAGAAGCAGTCAAGGCCAAAGCCTCTTTCCACAACAGGGAGTCAGGAAACTGAGCAAGCTTGCTTCTGGGCACTGAGAAATGCCAGCCCCCAACGTTGAAGTGAACTAAGTCCTCTGCTGAATCATGAGGCATGGCAGGTTCCTCCTGAAGGGTGGAAAAAGGAATTACTCAAAAGGAAATAACGGACACGAGACAGCAAAAGAAGACTATTTCTAGATGTAGAGGACACAATCTTGTATAGATTAATTCCCAAAGAACCCAAGATGAGACTTTCTATTCCCATAAAGAGTTACAGTCTCGGAAACCCATGGGGGCAGTTCTAGCCTGTCCTATAGGGTCACTATGAGTCGGGATCAACTCGATGGCAGTGGGTTTGGCTTTTTGAGAGCTGGTGAACCAGCTCAGCCGTTTCTTTCTTTCTGAGCAAACACAGGTGTGACAGGAAGGTCTTAGTTCCAGACTGAGCCTCCTTCCAGCAAACCCACCCAACAGCCTACAGGCCTGGAGATCCGTTCTTGTCACAACTGTAGCCCAGAAAGCCCTATGGAGGCAGTTCCATTCTGCCGCACAAAGTCTCTCTCTGGGTGAAAAATCCACGTGACAGCTCCCAGCAATCAGCAACAAGGTGGTAGGTTTCTGGATATTCGCTGTACAATACTTACAACCTTGCTGAGAGTTTTAAAATGTACATAAAATTTGGGGGGGGGGTGAAAGAAGTGAGGGTGAAAGCCAGCATTACTTTTTTTTTTTGACAGCGAAGAAGAAAAAAACCCCAAAACATGTAACCAAGCGGGTGGGTGCCTTTCTCTCACGGTAAGCCTGGTGTAAATAAGAAGATCAAAAGAATAGCAATTACAGATGCCAGTTGAGGCTGAAAAAGGCGAGAAAAAAATGACAAATTGTAAAACGGTGTTGTGACTCACAGAAGCAGGAGCTAATCCAGGCTTCTCTTTGAGTCCGGGTTCTTCTAAAAGTGAGTAAAGCTGAACCTGACAGAGGAATTTAGGACTCTACCCAAGTAGGGGCGACGGGGGTGTGTGTGCACACAGTCACCAGTGCCTCTGGTTTTTGCTTTCTGCCTCTGGAGAGCAGACAGTCAGTCATTCTCCTGAAGGCGGAGTGGCTGACCGAGCGCTCTGAGGAATTAATCGCGCACCGCGGAGGTTTTCGATGCCAGAGAAAACCTGCTCTTTGACGGAAGGTGAGCCAAAGGTGAGTCTTAGTTCCTCCGTTCTTATTAAACACCTGTATGACAAGGAGGGCTTAACTCAGGATGTTGCTTCCTTCCCCACTCTCCTGCCCAGGCTGGGATTAGGGTTGATCAGAATTCTCTCGGCCTAGGGAGAGCCGCAGGTTCCAGGCAAGTTGGGGGAGAAAGAGCGAGTACTTGGGAGACACAGGGTTAGACTGTACGAAACGAGGTAGACCTGGAGCCATCACCCCATCCCTCAGAGCATCATTCTTTTCTACTCTGACTCTTCACCCCTAAAGGAGGACCTTCCAAATACCTTCCCAGCCTGGAACTCCTTCCTGCGCCAATGACCCCCAACTCCCCAGAGCCCAGTTAGTCAGGGGACCAGAGCTCTACGTGTCCTCAAGACCCAGGAGCAGCCATCCTCCCTCAGCGCGGGAGCCCCCCCACCCCCACCCCTTCCTCAGCGGCGCGACTGCACGACGTTCTAGAACAGTCCGAATCGCCTTGACCCTGGGATCCGGGCTGGTCCCCTAACCTCGCCTCAGCATCCCCCAGAGGGCTAGGGTCTGAAGCCACACCCCGAAGTCAGCTCCCTCTCCTCACACCTCAAAACCAGCCCCGGAGCCCCTTCAACACTGGAGCCGCCCCTCCACGCGAATCAGAGCCGGGTTCCCGACCCCGTCATCCCGATGACCTGCCCCGACGCCCCCCGGTTCGCCGATTTCGTGTTTGGCGCCCCCTTCAGGGTGGGCTCCATACCATAGTCCGGCCTACCGCGGCG